ACATCCCCCGGTCGGAAGAACACCCCTACGCGACAGATTAATTGCTCTCCCAAACCCCAGACCAACCGACCGTAACAGCTGTTCGTATAATTCTTCAATCTCAAACGACTTGAAAGTCTTGTTGAGGGGAATGTTGATCGTCAACGCAATTCCTTAGAAGAAGGTGCAACATGAGTGAAAATTGACAGTTGTGCCAAGATGGTGTGTTCATGAATTGGTTCGTAAGACTGTAGGGAATAAGATTGTCTTTGAAATAATTTGCCATCTTTGGCGATGAAACATGTGGGCATTGCTTCACGGGTTGCCGAGTTCTAAGAACATTAGAGAGTATATAATCATTTCACGCTTGCGAATTCGTGTCATGTTATTCGTCGGTCTAGTACGTACCGGGTAAACCGTTCCACTCGTTCGTGAATCTATAGTCAGCGCTAAGACTTCAGCGGCCTCAACAAACGGGGCACATACGCCATTAGGCAAGGCCACAACCCAACAATCGACTTCACCATTCTTCTACATTTCTTTTATCTGTTCAGTATTTAAACTACGATATAATCTCACTCTTTGTGTATCCTCCCAACTTTTTGCGAAAGATGAGGGTTTTTATTGACAAGAGCAATCAAATTGTGTCCTGTATATCCACAAGCACCGATGAGTGCAATCTTTGCGGGTAAGGCGGTAGTACCATACTGACGGTGAAGAATGTTGCATCGCGCGACTTCGACAAACACTAGTTGAATATGCTCTTGCCCCAGTTTTAGAAAGCGGAGTTGCTTCCGGGGTAGCTTGAGAGGCGGCGAACTGATGATTAGTTATTGAAATCACTTTGTCTTCGATTCCGTACCAGAAGAGCGTTTGCGAACCCTACCCTGAGATTTATCAAAACGCCATGCTTTGTCTTTTTCCTGTCCTTCTTAATAGTCTCCATATTCTATCTATTACGTCATTCAAACTTCCCTTTTCTGTTACGGTAAACTTTTCGAGGAATGGAATGCCAGCACTCTGCAACATTGTACGCACGGTTCATTACAATAAATTTTAGATAGAGTACTAAGAACGCCTCCGTAACCAGCAACTAGTTGAGGGTCCTCTTCCAGTAGAGTTTGCAGATTTTTTTGTCGAGTGAATCATATTTAAACAAACGATATCCTCGACGTATAATGTTCCCGCGCCGCTATCCGTAAAAAGCTCCTTCTGGAGCTGTGAAGCAACTGATACCATACTTGCACCATACCACTCACATTCCTAAAATTTAATGGATAACGATTACTATGGCTCTCGCTGAAGCAAATAAGTATCTCCAAGTCAATCTTCCCGAGCAGTTCTAGTGTTAGCTTTTATAGAGAAGAGGCTTTCGATTACTGGCGATTACTGGACGATTACTGGACGATTGTTGGGCGTTACTAGGCAAACGCTAACGAAAGTTGTTATTTAGCTGTCGTATAGCAATATTGGCAATTTTATTGGGCACAACGTGGTCAAGGATATTAGTGAAGATTTACGTTGAAGGATAGTTTATCTTCATTCTGATGGCTTTTCTCGTAAACGGGTTTGCCGTTAATTGTATGTTAGTCGGGCCACAGTTTGAATGTTGAGGAATCCCTTCAAGACGTAGAAAGATTCTTGATTGGAAAATGGTTTGCATGTTACAACTAAGTAAGAAATAGAAAATCTCACTAATAAAACTTTCTTGTAGTTACATAAAGCCGCTATGGAAAGGAATGAATTGCTTCGTAGTTCTTTTATCACTAAAATTGGAGAATCATACAACTCATATTCCTTGATGAGAGCGCGAAGGATGTTATCTTTTGCAAGCCGTACATATTTGCTGTGGCACTTGAAACAAAAGGAAGATTAGGCTTCTCACGAAAGTTGGAATCATAACCAAATATCTCCTGCAAGAACTTCATTTCTGATTTGGGGACATAATTCGTAACTTTCTCTCTTTTACAATTACAACTCTCGAATTTATTATCTGTCTCACATAATAACATAAAGCTGTACATATGTACTATATTTCTTGGGTTCGATTTGTGCAGTCATGGTATTTTTTGGCGATAGTGAGCCTCGATAAAGTGACTTGATTCTTGCAATTTCATTGGTCAACCAATGAAAATTTTACTACCCTTTATATATACTAATATAAAATTTTCAAGAATGCAATCTCGCGTAAGTCAACAACCACAGCCCAAATATTTCTTTAAAATTGGTGCTAGAAAGTGTGGATAATCTATTGCAATTTATTCTTTTTTGATCCGAAGACGTTATCAATTCTACGTATACTGAGGTCGAAGATTTCGCATTATCAAATAGATACATTACGTCAATTACAATCGCAGATTGACAGGTTTATTACTTCGTAGCATTTCTTATTCTTTGTTACTTGTTACATTTACATCAAGCATCTAGTACACACTCTCAGTACTTAGTACATTGTGACTTCATGATGGAAACATAGTTTTGGATGATAGTAATATACATTGTGACCTTAATGATGATAACATAGTTTGGTGGAGTTTAGTATTAGGCTTCGTATTGTTTGTCTCTGTTATAAATAACAGTATTTGTAAAGTCATTTTCTGTAAAAAGGCAATCGCAAGATAAATTCTTGTTGTGGATGAACTCCTTTTGTCAGTCCGGTTTATTGAGAATAAATGTCTTTGTTAAACTGTAGAATAAATTATTATACACTGAATTTATGAATTGGCCAATAAGAAGAAAAACTTCGGAAAACCGATACCTCGCAAACCGATAGAAAATGGTGAGGACAGACACATCGGGTTGACTGTATTTTATTATGTATAAAAATAGTAAAAATTATTACAGTCAAACCTCCATAAAAGAACCCTCTATAAAAGAACAACCTCTCATAAAGAACATTTTATCACAGACGACTCTGACTTATTAGTAAATGAATAAGCTCTATAAGAGAACACCTCTATGGGGAGGCAATCATTTCGCCGACAATCATTTCACCGACAAATCTTCACCAACATTATTTCGAAGTTATCCTTTTTTGGTAGTTAATTGTCGGTGAAATGTGCTGTCGGTGAAATGATTGTCGATGAAATAATACGGACCCCCTCTATGATAGAAGAGGTTTGACTGTAGTACGTTACCAACTATGCATTCTGATTGGCCAATTAATGTTTTCGAAATTTTCGTTTTGAAAAGTGCGATAAGTTTACCTTCCACTCATCACATACTGGCGTCCTTCCGATGAACTACAAAAAGTTTTACGCTTACTTTATGAAGAAGATTACGCTCAGTTTCCATGTGTTCCCTGTTCTTATTGCTCACGTTTATTATACCCACAATCTGCAGAATGGGTAGTCAGAAATAATGACACTGCTTATCCTTTGCAACATATTTCCAAATAGTCTTATTACTAATCTACGCAACCCAGCAAATTAATTCCAATAAACGAACACAGCTTACACTTGCCCCAATACCTCAATATATTCCAAAAGAAAATATCTTTCCCATACTAGTGCAAATCCTTTTGTGGAATATTTATCGCTCGGAGGTCAAGTGGGGATAGAAGGATATTTCACTCTATTCAACCATTATTGACGCATTTCTGCAACAGCTGATTTGTCCTCTCCTAACAATCATTGGTGTCTGCGTTATGCCTGTGACTGGCTGTAACAACATAATCATATTTTGTCCGCTTATACGTGTAATTTGTTTACCCTGTCATACCCAAATATGAACTTCATCATAACTTATGGATTTAATCAGCCATGCTTTCCGTTATTTATCGAATCATATTATATTACTTTTGAACGAGTAAATATCTACACCACTATAAAAAGTTGATACCGTTTACATTTCCCGAAAATCACAATTTCATTGACCGTACTACAGTAAACTATATATCGACAGTACATGCGCTTCTTTTCAACTTAGTAATAAAGTATACCGCCATATTAGCTACTGTATATATTAATATTAAACCGATAACTCATATTTTCCATTTCCCGTAATACTCTTGTGACAAATATCTTATCCAAAAATGATACCCTTTCCAGTTTTTCTCAGAAAGCTGCACTAAATAAACTATTTATTCTTCATCGTTTGCTCATTTGTTCTTCTATTGTACTATACATTTCCCAGTGTATGCGCTTCCTCTAACTTATCAGGCGTGTCAATATAAGTATGTTATCGTACATACACAATCGATGACTCGTATCTTCAATTTATAAATATTCTTATAATGATTTCCTAAAAACATTGTTATTGACACAATTTTCGTCATATTTGTGTTACAAATCCCTTTCGAATTCATGCTATTAAGATCTTAGTTAAAGCTCTATCTGAGTCTTACAGATACATACGCGTGAATTAGATGATAACTTAAAACAGTAGAATTTACCTGTAGCAGTCCTATTGTATTGCCATAAGAGTAAGCACTAGGAATAAAGCAGTTATAGTTAGTGGATGCGTTATAAATAGTAATATGTTTTTTGATGTGAAACAAGTTGCGCAGATAAATATCGTCAATATTTTGACAATGACGAGATTTTCAGGCATGCGCAACATTCTTTAGTATTAGTATTACATATTAATATTTCAGAATTATTCATCATTTAACTATTCTTTCTAACTTCCGTAAGCCGAC